ATCCCAAACCCTGTCTATTTTAGAGCAGAGGAACAAAGTGCCATGTGGAAAGAGAGTAAAAATTTATATTGATGCTGCAAAGTAAGTATTCTGTTTTTGTTTTTGTTTTTTTTAGTATTTTTTACATTTTGATAGCACCGTGCAAATCCCTTTATGATGCAGCTATCTCATTTCATATTCACTAACTGTAAGGTAGACATTATTTTGATATTAAATGATGAAACTAAGATTCAGAGAGGTTAGTATGGTGGCAGTAAATGGTTTTTTTGGGGGGAGCAGAAAGGTAGTTGAGATGTAAAACTTAAGTCTTTGCTATACATCACAGATTTCTTATATCTAAGTTTTAATGTTGATTTCCCCTTTTCAGCTTAATTATTACCTCAGTTAATTTTTTTTTTTAAAGAGGACATGTGGGTTATATTTTTGGTGACTTGGCATATGTAAAGCATAACTTCCTCTTGCCATCATACATATCAGGGAGGTTACAGCATTTTCTTTCAAAGATCTGCTAACATTTGTTACTGTTTTCTAGAGTATCATTTTACAGATAAGTTGAAGCTGGCCTGATCTTGCTTTTACATGCAACTTCCGCCAGACCGTTCTCTTTTGGCCTGTATTGTCATGGGTTGTCTTTTAATATTTATAGTTAAAAAAAATATGCTACAATTCACCTAGGCATATTTCTGTCCATTGATTTTTGGGGAGGGGTGGTAGAGGAAGAGGGAGAGAGAGAACCTTAGGCAGGCTCCGCACTCAGCCTGATGCAGGGCTTGTTCTTACAATCCTGAGATCATAACCCAAGTTAAAATCAAGAGTTGGATGCTTAACAGACTGAGCTACCTGGGTGCTCCTCTGTTCATTGATTTTTATGTGGAAACTGGTAAACTGTTTTGGTCAACAAATTTAGAAAATCTTTATTCATTTCAAAAATATGTTCTTCAGTTGTATCTTGGATTATTGCTCCTATTCTGTTTTAATGTTTTTTCTTTCAGGAAATGGGAGTTCTTGTATTGGTTTTTTATCATCTTCCCTTATGTTTTTTATCTCTATTTTTTTCCTATAAAGTCTTAGAGCAGTCTTCATTTTTGCCCTCAACATAAACGCTGTTTTCTGAATAATCAATTCAGTTCTTTATTATTTCCAACACAAATTTTATTACTACATTTTTAATTTTTGCAGTAATTCTTTATCTTACCTATTTTTTTGAGTCTCATTGTGTCTCTCCTTATCACTTCCTGTTTTTATTTCTTAAGGAATATGGTCGATTTCCTTTTGGTTATACCAAATAGCTTATAAATATTTCTACTAATGGCTATAGAGAATTCTTTTCAGAAGACTGCTTTTTTGTTGAGCCTCAGGCTGATACCTCCTTTTCCTTGCCAAATAATCCTGTTTTCTAGGCTCTGTTTTTTTCTCTTCTATTTAAGGATAAGTTTGTTCATAATCAATGTTTGCCAACAAAGGGTCTGGATTGCCCTTGGCCCTGCTCTGTTTACTCATTTGGGTTCCTTTTTGTATCTTCAGCTCTAAAGTGAGTTGTTTATGTATATCCTCTAGTGTATGCCTAAGTGTTAAAAGTCTGCCATCTTGGGCAGCTTTTCTGGGCAGATATGGGATCTTGACTAGCTTTTCTTCATTGCCTTGCTCTCTGACATTCTTGTCAGTGCAAGTATAAGAGAGTCTACGGCTCTGAACATGCACTACTTGCATGAGTTTCCCTGTCTATTTTCTCACTTTATAAAGCTTTACTTTGAAGATTATGCCTTCTGTACACTGTGTGTTTGTGCCAGAACTGCCTTCCTCTCTATCCCTGTAAACAACACACATTATCTGAGGTTGGCAGTTTTCTTCTAAGTGTAGAAATCTAGAAAGAGTGGAAGTGTGGTGAACAACACCATAGCAGCTACAAGGATGTATACCCACCCGTGCAGTGTGGGAATTCCTGTGGCTTTGTAGTGACATAATCTTTGTATTTCCAAGTCTGGTGGTAGATGAGGGCAAAGGATAAAGCATTTTAAATGATCTTTCACATATTGAATGTTTGATTTTGGTTCTTTTTGTACTGTGTTGTTATTTGTACCTTTTTAAAAAGATTTGAGAGAAAGCCTGAGAGAGAGAGCACAAGCAGGGAGGAGGGGCAGGGGGAGAGAGAGAGAGAAGCAGACTCCCCACTGAGCAGGAAGCCCGATGCGGGGCTCCATCCCAGCACTCCAGGATCCTGAACTGAGCTGAAGGCAGACACTTAATTGAGTGAGCCACCCAGGTGTCCTATTTGTGTATTTCAATCTAATTCTGTTGTTTTCATGATTAGTAGAAAATTTTACCAGATTTTAGTCATCAATTGTTAGTCTGAATATCTATTATTGTGATTAATAGAAAATATTTATTAAGTTATATATTATGTGTTGACCCTGGTATAAATGCTTTAAATGTATTAACTCATTTAACAGTTTTGTGGGGCAGTAGTATTATTACCATTTTATAGAGGCATAACGAAGGTGAGCACTCTGCCCAAGAATACTTAGCATGTACTTAGCACAGATGGGATTGGAACCCAGGAAAAGTCTATATATTTGCATATTTCAAGTTTATAACCTGCTTTTCTGCATCTCCATAGGCTCATCCTTCCTCTTTCTCTTCTTCTATCTTTTTCTCCCTCCCTCCTTCTGATCTCTTTCTTTCTTCTATGACTTCATAAAAGGCTATATCAGGAACTGGCAACTAGGTGCCATTCAAAAATATGACATTTTATGAATTTTCGAATGTGGAATATAAAAAATTATATGTATATATATATTTTAGTTCTTTAGGTATTGCATTAAGATTACTTTATGAAACAAACTTTTGAAAGTATGTTATAATTTAGACTGCAAGTTTATTGAACAGAATTAATTTATTCTTTATAGACCTTAGTTTATTGGCCTTAGGTGAACACTGGGCTGTGGCAATGTCTAACCCTTTTATCTAATCCTCCCTGAGCACCTAACTTAAACTAAGGAATGACTTAATTATCAAGAAGAATTAAATTCATTAGATTAGTACTGCCTAGTATGAGCATCACTAGAAATATGGCTATTGAGCACTTGAAATGTGCTAGACTGAGATATGCTATAAGGAGAAAATACACTCTGGATTTCTAAGGTGTATATGAATAAAAGAATATAAAATATATCATTAATACTTCAAAAATGAGTATGACATGTTGAAATGACAATATTTTTTACTTATCAGATTAAATAAAATATATTATTAGAATGAATTTTGCCTATTTTTCTTTGTTTAATGTGACTATATAGATAATTAAAAATTACATATATGGCTCGTGTTATATTTCTATCTGGTATTCTAAAGATATATCTCTTCTCTCAGAGTCTGGTAGTAGGAAAACAGATAAGTGGTTAGGAGTGGTGTGGTAAGTGCCAGATAGGAGATCCTGCTTAAGAGAACTCTACCCAAGTGTGAGGGCCTCCAGAAGGTGACCTTTAAAGCAGCAGTGGTTTTTTTTTCCTTCCTCTTTCCCTTGTTTTGAAGACTCTAAGTCTATTTTTCGGACTGAAGGAAATAAAAGTCAAAAGTTACTTAAAACAAGTCTTTGAGAATCTTTTTTCTAGTGGTCTTGTCTTTTTTTTTTTTTTTAGTCTAATGAAATGAGTCAGGGTTGAAGCAGAAGACCTGACTGCGCAGAGACCACTGCTCTGCCCTGACCTCAAACTGGCTTAGCCTAAACCAAATTGATGCTGTGTCCTTTGCTAAGTTTGGAACAAAGGTCAGTTTGAGATCTTTTGAGTTCAGGTGTCTGGGGGACATCTGAATGGGGAGGAACATTAGCATTTGGACGAATGGAACCTACTGTCCAAAAAAAAATCTCAGCTGGCATTGTAGATTGAAGTTAGGTGAAGTCATAGATAAGGTATAAGATATCAGGAAGTGAGTAAAGTGAGATACAGACAAACCTCTGAGGAACAGGGAAGGTTGAGAAAAGGGAATTAAAGGTCAAATGAAAAAGAATGGTCAAGAAGGAAGAGTTTAATAGGACAGTGTGCCTTCAGAAGCAGACAAGTGTAGGTAGTGTCAAATGTAGTTGAGAGATAAAAATAAAGACTGAGAAATGTTCATTTTCTTTAATAATGAGGTCATGGGAAGAACATGGGTTCCTTGGAAGGGTTGGGTTAGATGGCAAAGCCAGATTGCAGAATGTCATGGAATTACTGGGAGCTAAAAAATTGGAGACAATGACCATTATTGTTTGGTTGTGAAAGAGGTGAAGGTGAGGAGGCTCATGGTAGTAGCTAGGGGGATGTATTTATATTTAGCATATGACAACGTGTGTGTGTGTATGTGTGTTTGTATCTTATTTGGGTTTTCAATCCATTATACAATTGTATTTCTCTATCTTTACATTCTTGGAATCTAGTGTCGTGTTCAGTAACAGTTGATCATGATTTTAATCTATTTAATAAGTCTTTTTCAACAAGATACTTTATCACCATCATTTGCAAATTCTCTAAACATTAAATCTACATCAGAGCTTGATTTTATCCGGGTTTGAACTAAGGCCCCTGAGCATGGCTAGATGGAAAGAACATGGGTTGTGCAGTTCCCTAACTGTAATTCATATCTAGATTCTAACTTGTTAGCTGAGTGATCTTGACCAAGTTAATTGTCCCTTCTGGCTTGTTTTTCCTCATTTAGGAAATGAGGATAATAACACCTACCCTTTATAGGGCTGTTGTGGAATACATTGAGAAAACGTCAGGTGTTTTATATGGTACTGTATATGAAGGTAGGCACTTAGGAAATGCTGTGTAGAAAAATAGCAACTTCACATGTTATACATGCCAATACCACAATTTTTATAATTTGATTTAAAGTTGCATCTGTGATATAATGTTATAACTTTAAATTAAAAGCAAGCATGCTCAATTGAAATTTGAGTAAAAAAATAGCCTTTGAATAAAACATGTTTCTTTTCTTGCTCCCTCCTCCCGTTTCCAATCCAGGTCCTGAGGGAATCTAACAAATTAGCAGAAATGGAAGAACCACCCTTGCTTCCAGGAGAAAATATTAAAGACATGGGTCTGTAATGGTATTTTTTGTTGAATTTCTTTCTCCTTTCTGAGTGCACAGATTATTAGTACTCTTGATGTATAGAGACCAGGTTCACTGTCCAAGATACCACCTGTCTGGCCGCGTTCATTGCTGCCAATCTTCCCAACATTTGGTGTGTCCTCTGAGCCTAGATCTACCACACCTATTGGTTATGTTTGTAGTTGGACTTTAGGGAAACATGCAAATTCACATATATTATGCTTCTTCTCTGGATTGCTTTACATTCATTCAAAGTAGGTGGCTTTTTTTTTAAACGCTGAATTTTCTTTTCTTTTCTTTTCTTTTTTTTAAACTTATTTATTCATGAAAGACACAGAGAGAGAGGCAGAGACATAGGCAGAGGGAGAAGCAGGCTCCATGCATGGAGCCTGATGTGGGACTCGATCCCGCAACTCCAGGATCATGCCCTGAGCTGAAGGCAGATGCTCAACCACTGAGCCACCCAGGCGTCCCTTTGCTGAATTTTCAAAAGAATATTTCGTTGTTTTGAATGACTGAAGACTTTTTTTTTTTTGAATGACTGGTTTGCCTAGATAAAACATTAAATTGTTACTTTGTACAAGTGATTTTTCTTAAAATACATTCTTTTTGTTTCCCTTACTTTTTCTACTCTGAATAAACTTGTGTCAATTTTTGGATGAAAATATTTCATCTCCATTGCAAAGCAAGCTGTTTCCATGTAAGTGCTTTTCTTTTACAGCCTAAAGAACTAAGCATTAACTTATTGTATGGACTGGCAACAGGCATTTAAGATATTTTTTTTTTTTTGTCTTCATGCTTTTACTTTGTTAAATCTGTGTGGTAGTCTACAAAATACCATAGCTTTGGAGGAATAAACTATTAGGAGAATAAAGTAAAGGGTTTCTTAACCAAAAAAACACCACCTTTCATTTTACTATCAATTTATAATGTGTGGTAGAAGAGGAGCCAGCGAGGGAAGTTGAGGAATGAAGAGAGGGTGGTACTGTGTGAACTAGAGCAAGCCAGACTGTATATTTATCTTTGTCCAGGTAGGTCCTTTACTTCTCCACTTCTGTATCTTGGATTCAGTTCTTCCTGTGCATTGAGTGCCATCTCACCATTTTTGCCCATCTAAAGGTTACCTGCCATTGGGGCATAACTCACATGCCTATGTTCCTCAGACTTTTTAGGATCCTACACCTGGATGGACTTCCCTTTCATTCTATTACTTAGAGTATGTTTTTGTGCCTCTTTTTCTGTACAGATTGTATGCTCTCATCTATTACATTTGTCTGTATAAATTTTATGTCCTTGTAGATAGATATGTATTTTCAAGGTCACTTTAGCCTACCTCACAGAAAATATGGCTTCTTCCCATGAACTCAGTGAAAATTTGAGAGGGTTAGTAAATCTGAGCTCTTTTGGTACCACTAAGCAGTACCAGTATTGCAGAATTTAGAGGAATACCTAATATATTAAATATTCTGATTCAAAATAATCTAGACTTGATGGTATGTAAAAATGATATTTAACTTAAAGCGTAAGGCTAGAATGACCTAGAATATGTTAATTCCTGTAGAAAAGACATTCGATGTTTAGTTGGTCTAATGTCAATCTGCAGTTTAGTTTTTTTTTAATTTTTATTTATTTATTTATGATAGTCACACACACAACACAGAGAGAGAGAGAGAGAGAGAGAGAGAGAGAGGCGCAGAGACACAGGCAGAGGGAGAAGCAGCTCCATGCACCGGGAGCCTGATGTGGGATTCGATCCCGGGTCTCCAGGATCGCACCCCGGGCCAAAGGCAGGCGCCAAACCGCTGCACCACCCAGGGATCCCTGCAGTTTAGTTTTTTAAGTTAGTGTTAGGAACATCACAGCGTGCTTTTAAGGAAGTAACAGTCTCAGAGTATCGTGGCCTGGACATATCAGGAGAAGAGAGAGCCCCAGAGTCCAGTGTTTCAACCTTTAACACAGGAGTCAGATGGTGCTATGTTAAGCGGCTTGGCTTTGCATGGTGTGATGGAAAGAGACTTGAATTTGTCATCAGAGGAACTGCATTCAAGTCTTAATCTTAGCAGTTCCTGGTTCTGAAATATTAGTGTATTTGTTATGCTTCTCTGAGCCCAGGTATTCGCATTTAAAAGTTGTAGGTATAATTATAGGTCTTATATACAAGGTTTGGTATATTTAGGTTAAAGGAAGTACTCAAGGTGAAAAATACTTCATAAACTTTGAAGTGCTAGGCCATCAGAGCTGGTAGCTGGTTACTATTATCATTTGCTCTAGTATGGTTTCTGGTCAGAATGTCTCATCTGCCTGATGCAAACCCTGCTAAGCATAGACTCTCTCTTCAGCTGCCAGCCTGAGGAGGAAGGGTAAAGAGGACAGAACAGAGCAGAGCCTAATGATTGATGATAACAGTAACAGAGATAAAAACCCTTATGTATGTATAGTACTTTCAATTTTGGAAGTACTTTGATGAATATTATCAAAGGGTAAGGTGTAACAAAAACATGGGACTAACAGGGACATTTCTTGTAGTAGCATATAGAAAAATGAGGTTGATTTTCTTGTGTGAGTAAGAAAACTGGCTCTGGAAAGAATCCAGAAGTGTTTTAGTAACATTTAATAAAACTTCTCTACTTGAGGTGAAAATTTATGAGAGCGAGAAAATGTATGCAAGGCAGGTTTGTGTATCTTTCCATAATAATTTAATTTTATTTATTTTAATTAATTAATTTATTTATTCATTCATGAGAGATACAGAGAGAGAGAAAGAGGCAGAGACACAGGCAGAGGGAGAAGCAGGCTCCATGCAGGGAGCCTGACGTGCGACTCGATCCTGGGTCTCCAGGATCACGCCCTGGGCTGAAGGAGGCGCTAAACCACTGAGCCACCAGGGCTGTCCGGGTTTATTTAATTTTAAAGACGTCCCTCTAAATGAAACATGCATTGGAAACAATTCAAAAAAATGTAGCTCATTCTTGAACATTCCTGAGGGAAGATTTTGAAGGTTAGAAATGTTTGTTATAAGATCAGTCTCATTTTAGCTTGCATACAAAGTGTTCAGTCCTTCGAAGTGGTGAGTAAAAAGCAAGGTCAGGAAGTTGTAATAACTTATTAAATGTATTTTATGTCCCTGGAAAGTTCTTAGCAATTTGTTCCTCCTAGTAGTGCCTTCCTCTCTGGAGTAATGAAGATACTTCTTTATTTATTCGTTTGCTGCTGTAATGACATACCAGGGATTTATGAATATCTTAAGGTGTAAAAAAGTTTGGAGTGGGCATTATGAACTCTGCCATATTGAATATTATTTTGAGCTAGTGGTAGCTGAGTTATCTTGCTTAATGAATGTTTAAAAAGCATTATGCTGTGTAGATTCATCAATTATCATTTAATAGAACAATGTTCATAGTTATTTGTCTACAAGGTTCGACATCAGTTGCTTGGTCAGGAATATAATATTCTCTTATTTTACTATTATCTTTCTAAGAAATTATAGTTTCATATACATTGCATTTCTCTGACAGTATTTTCCCTGTTAGTATAATCAAGTCAGGAGTTTCTGGTATCATATATTACAGATATATTTTTAGAGGAATGTTGACAAATCAGACCGAGCAGAAGACAACCAGCAGATTGGTGAGGTGATCTAGAAACTGTGATGACTGGTGACTGTGGCTTGAGACATTTGCAGTTATTAACCACTTTACTACTACCCTTCCACCACTACTCCAACTTCCACAAGTGTTTTATCCAGTATCCAGCAGGGTTAGTGGCTAGCCTTGTCTCCTGTCTGAGGGTAGGGGCTATCTCTGCCTCTTTAGTCCTTGCCAAGTTTCTGCATGGTCACAAGCCTAGATTTGGCTTCTGAGTTCTGTTGGGACACTGATTCTGTGATATTTGAGCATAGGTTAGAACAGCAGTCAGGATTTTAGTACATTTCACTTGTGAAGAGATGAAAGTGCAGTTTTTAATAGTGCATGATATATACTAAAATGTGGACTCTTTGTTTTTGCAGCCAAAGATGTAACTTACATATGTCCATTCACTGGTGCTGTACGAGGAACTCTGACTGTCACCAATTACAGGTTATATTTTAAAAGCATGGAACGGGTAAGACTTGTTGAATTAGATTTTTATATGTACATCTGTGTGTTGTTCACAGTTTTGTTCATTTTTGCTCATTTTTAATTCAGGCATTTCTAATTAAGATATTTGTACAGAATCAATTGCTCAGTTTTAATAGTTTATTTCTTTCCTTCCTTTAGGATCCCCCATTTGTCCTGGATGCCTCTCTTGGTGTAATAAGTAGAGTAGAAAAAATTGGCGGTGCTTCTAGTCGAGGTGAAAATTCTTATGGACTGGAGACTGTGTGTAAGGTAAATGTTATATTTATGTGATTTTGTTTTGAAAAGCTTTCTATTAAATAGAGCCTATAGGTAGAAACTGGTTTCCAAACTGTCAAATACATTTCATACTGAAATATTCTAGAAGACTTAACATTTAGGAGTAATAAAAGGTGATCTGTTATGAATTAGGCTTGAATTCTTTTGGACCTCGTACAAGGTACTTTGACATTGATTATTTCATGCTGAGCCTCAAAAAATCTGAAGTAGGCATGATAGACATTATTACCCTTAATTTACAAATTGGAAGCAGGGCTGAGCAGTGAAGGCATAGGACTTCATAGTGGAAGAACGGGCTCTCATATATTCATCATCACCTGTCTTTTCTATTTATAGTTCTCATAATTTTTCTGCTTCCTAAACAATGGTGTGGAAAATGTGACATTACATACCTTTCCTATTTTCTTATCTAACTCATATTCTTTTTTCCTCATGATCAGCTCCATTTTATTTTCCTCCCTGTATTTATTATTGCCATGAATATTCTCTAACTCAGAGAATTTACTGTTGTAAAATTTTAATTCCAACGTAGTTAATATACAGTGTTGTATTAATTTCGGGTGGACAATATAGTGATTAAATAGTTCCATTTGTTACTCAGTTTTCATCAAGATAAATGTACTCTTAGTCCCCATCACCTATTTCCTTCATCTCCCACCCATCTCCCCTCTGGTAACCTTCGATTTTCTATAGTTAAGAGTCTGTTTCCTGGTTCGTCTCTCTTTTTTCTTTTGTTCATTTGTTTTGTTTCTTAAATTCCATAGGAGTGAAATCATATGGTATTTGTCTTTCTCTTACTGGCTTATTTTGCTTAGCATTATACTACTAATAATAATTATTATTATACTAATAATAGTAATATAATATAGTTAGAGATAACTACATCCATGACATTGCAAATGGTAAGAGTTCATTCTTTTTACACTTGAGTAATATACCATTTTATGTGTGTGTATGTGTGTATGTATATATATATATTTTTTTTTCTTCATCTTCTTTATCCATTTATCCACTGATGGACACTTGGACTGCTTCCATAGTTTGGCTATTGCAAATAATGCTGCAATAAACATAGGGAAGCATGTATCCATTCAAATTAGTGTATTTGTATTCTTTGTGTAAATACCTGGTAATGTGATTACTGGATTGTAGGATAGTTCTATTTTTAATTTTTCGAGTAACCTCCATACTGTTTTCCACAGTGTTTGTGCCATTTTGAATTCCCATCAAGAGTGCAGGAGGGTTCCTTTTTCTCCACATCCTCACCAACACTTGTTGTTTCTTGAGTTTTTGATTTTAGCCATTCTGACAGGTGTGAGGAGATATCCCATTGCTGTTCTAATTTGATGATGTCTAACTCATATTCCTTAAATGTATTGATACTTGAAGGAAACCTAAATTTTTCATCATTCTTTTCAGTCATAGCTATTTCATACCTGGAGTCACCTCAGTAGGTCAACTGTTCTCATTATGGCCTAATTAACACCCATGCACATTTTAATTTTAGTAATTCATAAGTTACTTTCATGATAATATTAGAAGTTTTGTGAATCTAGTAATAAAGGTAATGACTTTGTAATAGTTATTTTTATGCCTTTCTGTTATAGTCAGAAGGGCTCTTAAGAGTATAGTAGCTGTCAACCATGTGTTTAGCACTTTGTCTCCCGATCACTTTTCTGTAATCTAAGAGTAAATAGAGCATAGAATATAAGAGGACACGAGAGAGGGAGACTTTTAAATCTTGGTCATGTTAAATATAATTTCTTCCTTGAAACAAGACCATTATCAACAAACCCAAACATTTGTAGGGCCCCTGCTTTGGTACTTCTAGGTAACTATAATTAATGAAGTGATTATGGATATATCTACTAGTTGTTTAAAGATATATACTGAGGGAAAAAATAAGGTATTACCTTTGGTTTCTGCCCATGTTTGTTTTAAAGTATGATAAGGCTAGCGTCCTAGTTTTGGATCAGATTTGTAATAAAATGCCCTACTTGTTCATGTACTACAGGTGCATTAGAGTACAGTGTCTCTGTATTCACTTTTACAGAATGGGATATAGTAAAGCTATTTTGAATTCTGCCTTAGATTAAAACACTTAGATAAAATGAGTAGTCTTGAAATTATTCTTAATCCCCATGTTTTCCTTTTTTTTTTTTCTCCCCGTGTTTTCCTTAGCATATACATATGCTTGGAGATGTTTGACGAACTTAGACGAGAGGAGGAAGAGATATAAGTAGAGTGTAATTCTGTCAGTCTAGTAGCAAGAGTCTTATGAAGAGCCAATGAAAATGAGCCCTGGGAAGGGATGTGAAGTAGGAAAGTTAGGACCAGGCATGATGGAAGCAAAGACACTTTGGAAATAAAACATGAGCTAATCAGGTTTTTAATAGGGAAATTCATGACAGAAAATGGGCTTTCATAGGGAAAGGACATACACTGAGCTGTGTATCAGTGATGATAGTGAGCTTCAGATTTAATATCTCTTATCTCTAGTGCATGCATCAGATGGTGTCTCCTTTCCTGGTCTATCCTGAGTATATAAGCAGAAATAAAATTTCTGTGCTCTGAATTTTGCCTTGTATTAGAGGGTCTTGTGTGTGTTTTTTTTCTCTTTCAATAAGGCATTGTGATTTCCCTGCCTCCAGGAACTGCTGTCTTATTTTTGTATTCCACATTCACATACCTTAACATTTTACAAGATAGTTCCAAGTTACCCTCTGTGTTCATGAAATAAAAGGTGAACAGTTATAGATGTCTTGGAACATAAATCTTTTCTAGGATATTCGGAATTTACGGTTTGCTCATAAACCTGAGGGGCGAACAAGAAGATCCATCTTTGAGAATCTAATGAAATATGCATTTCCTGTCTCTAATAACCTGGTAAGATGTTTTTTATCTTTGAAAAATGTGTATCTTAATTTTTGGTGCGGTGTAAAGAAACTTATCTAGGCTACCTAGAATCTACATTTGTGATCCTACTTTGCTATTAAACCTGTTGTATAAGTTAGGTGTAATCTAATCTCTTGGAACAGGTGTTTTGGTTTTTTTTTTTTGTTTTTTTTTTTAGTATGAAATGAGAAGCCTGGACTGTCTGATTGGCGAAGTCTGTTCCTGCCTGTGGACATTCTATAATCATATGATTTTTCTCTCCAGGGTATTCCCATGATGAAAAGCTATCTGTGGTCTTCATTAGGAGTTGAAATCTCCTTTTTAATTAGGAGCTGAGAGTTAGGTCTAGCAATTTTAGGAAGAAAGAGTGGGCAAATACTTAGCTGAATTCCTGATGTCTGCTAGTGATGGGGTGTTAGGCCCCCTCATCAACATTGTATAATCTAACTTCCACATTAGCCCTGTGATAGTAAATATTATTTACCCTTATTTTAGAGTTGAAACCAGCAATGAACTCAAGGGCACAGCTAGTAGAGAGTAAAATTTGGAATCAGTACTGATCTTTTTATTCTTGTTTGAATGTTTTCCATTATAGTTTCTGTCATTCTATCTACATAAATGATAAATTAGATTTTCTTTTGGTACACTGCATGCCACAAAAAATATTTTTATTCAGTATGTTTTAGAAAATATAGCATAAACTTCAGCTGTTTAACTGCTGACATCTGTGATATAAAACTATTTATATTGGAAGATGTCTTTTATCATGTAAAGCCTTTCATTATTTAGAAGTAAACCTGAACAGCTGATATGTAAAGGAACTATGATGGTATGTTAGCATTTGTACATCTTGGTGGTGGGCTTCTGTGCTTTTCTATGTGTTTGAAAATATGAAAAAACAAGACATACTTAAAATTATAAAATAAGAGGTAAAAGAGCAATATAAAAAAGGGCACCGATACAAAAAGTCCTTGCAGATAAGTAAATGAAAACTTTGGGTGTGATAAGGATACATTTCTGATTCATTAACTCCTGAAATGTCTCTTTGTAGCTGTTAATTCTGTTTACTGCTTTGTAGCCTCTTTTTGCTTTTGAATACAAAGAAATATTCCCTGAAAATGGGTGGAAGCTGTATGACTCTCTTCTAGAGTATAGAAGACAGGTATGTACTTTTGTTCTTTCAGTTTTAATATTCTGTATCATTTTCATTACAACAAAAAATGGTGGAAGTAAACAGCCTTATGTAGTTTTGTGGGTTTTGTTGTTTTTTTAATGAAGGCTAATTCTGATTTCTTGTCTGCCTTTCAGTTTCTTTAAATTGTTTTGATACAATACTAGTGATCTTTTATGAATTTTTACTCATCTAAGAGCTAACAAGTGAACCAGCTTATTAAAAATGTTTAATAATGGTAAGAATTAAATGGTAAATACACTTTCATATTCTTATATGCCGTTCAACATTATTCACTCACACTTTTCTCTTTTGGATATCCTATAATTCTGAAAAAATTTCTTAGTAGTTCTGCTTATAATTTAGCTCCCCATGAAATTTTGAAAGTTTTAGATCTTCATAGAGGACACACTTATACATAAAATATTAACAGATAAAATCTGATAGTATACAAAAGAAATAATGCATCATGACTAAGGTGGTTGGTTTACTATGAGAAAACCTATCAGTGTAGTTCACCACAGTAAGAGATAAAAGCAGAATTTATTCTGGAAATCTATGTGACAGTCTGTCATCCTCCCTATTTTCTCTTAGTACACTACTTCCCAGAGCCCTTTTCTGAATATTTAAATTCTACCTAAAATATCTTTAATTTTTGACATGTCCACTCTGCTTTCTTGAGAATTTAAGTTCAGACACTTTGATTGTTTCTTTGGTAATCATTAGATTTGAGATCCAGATTATTCTAGAATTCAAATAGAAAATAAACTGTGGTTTTTGTATTTAGATTTCAAACATTGCTTTTGAATTATGAAGTTTCTAATTTATTTAAGTTTGTTTCACAAAACAAGGAAGAGTAAAAACCACCACTAGAGAACTAAAGATATCCAAATGGCTTGAAACAGAGTTTGTTGCTCAATAGCATGTGGTCAGTAAAATGGGAAAAAAAAATTTTTTTAAAGATTTTTATTTATTTATTCATGAGAGACAGAGAGAGACACAGAGACATAGGCAGAGGGAGATGCAGGCTCCATGCAGGAAACCCGATGTGAGACTTGATCCCCGAACGCCGGGATCACTCCTTGAGCCCAAGGTAAATGTTCAACTGCTGAGCCACCGAGGTGTCCCAAACAGAAAATTTATTATTCACTTGCAAAGCCATCAGCTTGGCAAAGTATGAAGCAGATTCTACACAGTAAAAGGATCAACTAAAAATCAATTGTCTACAAGTAATATTGAGAGATTTTTGCTAATTCAAAAAGCCAATGTCAGAATTAGGTGAGAAAGCAATCAGAAAATCTAACAAATGTCCTTAAAATTGTCAAAATGAGAAATAGTTTCTGGGAGTCTCGGCAAAAATTGCCATCTGTTCTAGTAGCATCCAGCATAGAACTCTGGAAAGCAGATGAAATATCCGTGTCCACATAAAAGAAATAAGTCACTGTGAAAAAGAGAAAATAAAGAGTAAATAAACAACTATAATCCTATAGAAAGAGAATTACAAGATTAGGAAATGTGGCTTTCAGAATAGAGCATTGAACTCTATGTTAAATGATACAGATGTTTTATGATCTTTGACTTTCTCAACAAACTTTCGACTTTTCTGCAGAGCTAACTCTGTCTCTGAGGTAACTAAAATGGCATATTGTGTAGAGAACACTGTATTTCTTGTGGTTAGATGATTCAGGTTCTGGGGTTGATTTTGATGTATACTAACATTGTTACAGGAGAAAATGAAGATAATCTTTTAATATAAACCTTCAGACTAAAGATAAAGCATCAGAGTGTTTCTTTTTTCTTTTCAATAAAAAAAATTATAAGTGGTAATACTTGCACTCTGTATAAAATTTAGAAGTACAAAAGGGTATATGGAAAGGTAGGTTTCCCTTCCAGGACAGCCTTGTCCCCCACTATTCCAGTACCTCTACTCTTACAAAATAATGTTGCTGGTTGCCTATGTATTCTTTCAGAGATTTTATGCCTTTTTCATTTTATGTATTTTGGAGGATACATACCATCTCAGAACATAGAGATGGGCCTCTTCTTTTTTTCTTTAGAGTTGATGTGTAATTCACATACCATAAAATGTACCACTTTAATGTATAGTCCACTGGCTTTTAACATACATACAAAGTTGTGCAACTATTACCACAGTCGAATTCCATAGCATTTAGAAGACCGAGAGACCGAGTTTGCATACAATCTCTACTCTCACTCTTAAATAAATGTTCTTGAATGAGCCATTTTTGTCATAGTGCTTTTATTTTTTACTTGGTCATAAGGATTGCTTTATAGGAATGTTTGAAGGATTAGTAATATATAGGAAGGTATTTTATTAACCAAAGAAATCTATCCAAATGATCATTATTGTTTTTATTACTTTGTAAAGCTCTAAAAACAGAAATCATGACTGGTTAGCTTCATGGTGTGCAGCCATTAAAACATGAAAGGAAAGCCACATACATTAATTCTATAGACCTATACATTATAGTGCTGATCATACAATTTTTAATGGGCAAAATTATTAATAACTATTTAAATTTGTTATGTAAGAGGATGTTTCTTTAACTCTTGATGCATGTAGTGATTATACAGAGGACCCTTGAAATTGGTGGATAAGATCAAGGAAAATCATCAAGTTGCTAAAAGAGTAAAAATCAGTATTAAGAAAGTGAACATGGTCTTCTGCAGAAATATTTAATCATAAGGTAAATGTGTTGCTTAACAAATTTGGGAAACATTCAAGTCCAGTCAAGGAAAACAGAATTTATCCTCAGAACTATAGTATAAATAACTAAGGAAGGCTATAAGCCAGTTATTTTGGTTGTAACATGACTCTGACAAATGGATACGTTAACTGAAAGGCAGAGATTTGCAAGAAGAGTGTAAAAATGTATGCCGAATATCAGTAGTTGTCAGTAAGTCTTTAGTATGACTACAAAAAGTGCATGCTGATTAGTCAACTCTACTTTTCAGTTTGGAAGGCAGTTCATTTAGGGGCAATAGATGTGTTACCTTATCTACAAATAGGAAGACAATAGCCATTAATGTAATTTAAGTCAGTGCTTCTACCCTCACTCTGCCAGTTTCCTGAAGAATGTGACACAATCCCTCCAGTAATAATAGTTCTCCCAAGGAATGATTTTTTAAGGATATGAGAAGGGCTTGAGAGATGGGAGTACATACGTGGGTTGGGGTAATATATCAGGTTCTCAGGTGATCCAACCATCTTAGCTCTGACTCCGTGTTTTCTAAGAAAACTTGAGAAACTAATTTTGCTTCTTATAAAGGCTTCCTTGGGGCAGCCTGGGTGGCTCAGTGGTTTAGTGCCGCCTTCAGCCCAGGGTGTGATCCTGGAGACCTAGGATCCCACGTTTGGCTCCCTGCATGGAGCCTGTTTCTCCCTCTGCCTATGTCTGAGCCTCTCTCTCTGTGTCTCTCATGAATAAATAAATTAAAAATCTTAAAAAAAAAAGGCTTCCTTGTGGTTCATTGATTTATTCATTTATTCCTTCCTTCCTTTGCTCATCCGTCCGTCCAATTTATGTAGCACTACATATATTAGTGACTAAATCTATGAAACAGGAAGACACAATCCTGACTTCCAAAGAGCATATATTTAGTGGAGGATTCAAAGAAGTAAACTGACAATTTTGGTGAATACAATGACTGATAAAGCAGGTACTCCAGTAAGAGAATATGAAGCCCTTTGGGAACTGAAAGTATTGGTATAGGCTTGACTAGAGTCTTGGGTGGCAAGAGATCAGACTGGGGAATGCTGGAGTGTGAAGGGCTTTGCTAAGTCCCATAAAGGAATTATTGAGAAATAATTGACATACATCACTGTGTAAGTTTAAGGTATAAACCATGATGGTTTGATTTACATATATTGTGAAAGGATTACCAGAATAGGTTCAGCTACCATCCATCTTCCATTTAGCTAGAATAAAAAGAAAAGAAAGAAAAAAGGAAAAAATTATCTCCTTATGAGAACGCATAGAATTTACTCTCAACAACTTTCCTATATCATACAGCAGTGTTAGCTTTGTCATCATGTTGTACATTACATCCCTAATATTTATTTCTCTTATGATGGAAGCTTTTGCCTTTTTACCACCTGACCCCTTCCCTTCAATTTCCTTTCCCCCAACCACAAATCTTTTCTTTCTATCCTTTTCTGAGTTTTTTTTTTTTCTGTAATAGTCCACATGTAAGTGAGATCATATAGTATTTGTCTTTCTCTGTGTGGCTTATTCCACCTAGAGTAATACCCTTAAGGTCCTTCCATGTTGCTGTAAGTGATAAGATTTTCTTGCTTTTCATGGTTGACTAATATTTCATTGTATAAGAATACCACAGCTTCTTTATCCATTCATCCACAAGTAGACATTTGGTTTGCATCTATGTCTTGGCTATAATAAACAATGCTGCTATGAATATGGGTGGTGCAGTTATCTTTTTGAGTCGCTGTTTTCATTTCCCTTGTATATATCCACAGAAGTGGAATTGCTGAATCATATTGTGGTTCTGTGTTTGATTTTTTGAGCTTCCTCCATACTGTTTTCCATAGTGGCTGAAAGTTTACAATCCCACCAACGGGGTTTCCTTTCTCCACATCCACACTAGCATTTGTCATCTCTCCCCCCACCACCCTGCCCCACTCTTATTCCTAATGGTGGCCATTCTGACAGGTATGAGGTGATCTCATTGTGGGTTTAATTTGCATTTACCTAATAACTATATTGAGAATCTTTTCATGTGTCTGTTGGCCTCTTATATTTTCCTTTTTTTTTAAGATTGTATTCATTTATTCATGAGAGATACAGAGAGAGAGAGAGAGTGAGTGAGTCAGAGACACGGGCAGAGGAAGAAGCAGGCTCCATGAAGGGAGCCCAATGTAGCCTCGATCCTGGGACTCCAGGATCATGCCCTGGGCTGGTGGCAGATGCCAAACCACTGAGCCACCCAGGGATCCTCTTATATTTTCTTTT